CTCAAATGATAAAAAACGACTTTTATGGTTTTTCTTAATAAATTTCAAATAGTAATGAATCATCACCGCGTATATTATTATTATTATTACTTATAAAGATTTTTAAAAAATTTTAAGAATCAAAAACAATTCCTTTATAAGTGAAAAATATAGACTATTATCTATATACTTTTTATATTATATTAAAATATAGGTATAAAGTTTATTGATATGATAAATGTACAATGACATTATTAAATACCGTGTCTCATAATTTCTCTTGTACTTAATGTACCCAAAATTAGTTCTGGAAATTAATTAATTAACACATTAACAGAATATTTAGTAATACAGTTTCATAGCAAAAATTGTCACTTAAGAAAACTTTATACATTGCAAAAAATAATAAAATTATTTATAGATTATAAATAAAAATTAATTTAATTGTTAAGTTGATTTTCAAAAATGCGTGTACACAACAACGTTTATTTTTTAATATTGTTGCTTGTACTATACAAAACAACATGCTTCAACCAATTTTAATAACACATCTGAATAATTCAGATGTGGTATTTATTAAAAGTAAATTATTAACTTTAAAAGATATTGATGGCACCAAAATCAAAACTAAATAAAATTATTTGAAAAGAACTGACTAAAAAATTTTCATCTGTGATCATATTAAGTTGTTATTTTTTCGGGTTGGTATATTTTAATTTAGATAAATAGTAAACTATAAAAATAAGTTCCCGATAAAATTGTTTTTACTTTATTTTAAATATTATAACTCAGATGTCACGTCAATTCATCACGTACTTTCTTCTAAGAACAAACACGATTTTTTTCTGATTATCCTTAAATTTTAAATAGATGTCACTCTTGAAAATTAAATAAAAATTTTTTAATAGAATAAATCTGATTACTTGAAGAAAAAAATTTGGTTACCATTTAAAAATCGAAAATTGATATGGGTTTCAGATATAAGGAATGGTAGCAAAAAATTTATTTTTCGTGTAAATAGATCAACAAAGATCCATTATTGTTGAAAAAATAAAATAATGATTAGCTCTAATATTTTCAAAGATATTTCGTGAGGCGTATTTAAGATATTCCAATGGTTATCAGAAGACAGAGGCTAGGGAAATGACGTACATTTGTGATAGTTGATTTTCTATTATTATTATACTTCATTATTTTCGATAAGCAATAAAAATTATTAAATTCATAATCTGTTTAAATGATAAAATTTCATAGTACGCAATGAATGGACGTGACACTAAAGCTCTAGAGTTTGATGTGGTGTAAATCTATAAATTATTAAAGCAATATCATTTAACAGCTGTCAAACAGTTTTATAGTTAAAATCTATTTTGATGCCTTACATGTTTTATTGTGTGTTTATTATTTGCAGTTAAAACTCACATACTACACCAGACAGACTCCTGTCGCTGCTGGCTGTTAGATATTTCTAAAAATAAGGGTAATGCTTCATGCCAACAGTGTAACTTGTATGCAAAATTTAATCTCATGCATGGCACACAATAACTTATGATATTCAAAAGCACTCGTGTTCCATAGGCTATAAATTGGTACAAGTGCATATGAAGAATTTTACTTCAAACTAACTGTATTTACCGCGAAGCTAAGACTATGCACACATGGATAGTCACGAAGAATTCAAAATTACCACATAAAACTATTAATAAAAGAGATGTACTTAAAATATATATTTTTAATAGATTTGGTTTTACTTCAAATGTTTTTTGTTTAAATAGTGCAACAGAATGGCAACTAATGATATTTCACCGACTTTCATTTCCGCTGTATCCAAAATAGGAAGAACCGCACCGAGACAACATTCTTAAAGGAATTCGTTCAAACAAACTAACTACAGAACACATGTGGACATCGAACGACCCAAACCTCCTTTAACGTGGATTATTCATATAACGGAATCTCGTGGAAATGCGAAAAATTTTAAAGCAAAGAATACGCCCAATATACATCGTGGTTACTAGACTTTTGAAATTAAGCAAATTGTCTATGTTATAACCATGACACAAATTAACCAAACAAATTTAGGCAACTTAAGTTAATATTCAAATCATTAAGAATAAATATTTAAACATCTATGATGTAAATGTTTACAATTTAACATTAAAATAAATTATATTGATTTCAATTTTCATATATATATATATATATATTTTTTTCAAACTAAGTATTATACTGAAACAACACATTACAACAAGAGAAAATTATTAAACTATAATACAATTTTTGTTCACTCTTTAAAAGTCCAGATGTATTAATATTGACTCAACAAGAGTCGGTGCTAATAGATTACGAGACATGCCCCCATGCTAGCTAAATTAATGAGCAAAAAAAGTTTTTTTAATATAAAAAAATGTTAAGAGACACGTAAAATGTGTTTGCACAAGACCCCGCGAATTCAAGTGCCAACTCTGAGCCTAACTATTTGCTTACGGCATTAATAAAATGAAAAATCATATTTTTCTCAAAAAAAAAATTCCAACAGTTGAAATACTTTATGATTTCAAAATCAAGATAAACAATTTATCTAAAGAATATTTTACGAATCACTTGGAGAAAGACGTCGTAAACCATAATGGGTAAGGCAAACATTACTGTTTGTACTCTTAAGCCTATTTTAAAACTACCATAGTGAACGTTTAAAAAGTTGAGCGATAAATTTCCAAAAACTTATTAAAACAAAACATTATTATTGCATTGTATGTTATTTCATTGTTTTTCGCAAATTATAGCCTAAAAATCGTATGTTAACCAGCTTGTCTTGAGAAATATATGAAAGATTTACCTTAAGAATTATTTATACAATTTTATTACCTGCAACAGAGCTATAACTAATCTTGTAAAAGCACCGCTACGAACAACTATGGTGCTAATAGTGGTAGCCGGCGGACGGGTATTTTTCCGTTCCATCCCGCCGCCGGTACTTGGTAAAATTGTTCACTATTTAAATTTGTTACTAACGATTTACATCAAGAAAAAAAAGCCAAAAATAAGAAGATGAATAAAAAAATCTCACACAAAAACGCACTGCACAGATCACCTGCAGCAAAAACCAGTAGGTAACATAAGTACTATTATTCTTACGGCGACACCACAACGACCACTCGGACGGTCCACTGAGTTAGAACTGACTGCACGCGCTCGAGATGACCACCAAAACCGTCATCGCAAACCTTCTACTCTACCCTCCTACCTTTCAGTAAGACAAACGAAGCTGTTACTCACTTGCAATTTTGTTTTCATACGTGTGTGTGCACTTAGCATTGACAATGAAAATTATTATTAAAAATATCAAACGATTATTCTCCTTTTTTATTCCTTTGTTATATATAAACAAGTGTTAAGTATCATCACACCATTTACATGAATACAATAATTAATACATTATCATAAAAGTACAAACAAGAAAAGTAAGTAAAGTACATACAATTATCCCCTCTTTATAGAGGGGATAATTATTCAGTTTTGCTGTATAATATATTTGTACCCACACATAACATATTTGCGGTTTTTATTTGTCCTTTTTTTCAACATAGCTATATCTTATATGAGTAGTCGTAATGACAATTAACTAGCAGTTATAAATTTTACTACTATTTACCGCTTTACTGACAGTCGTGTATCTAATGAACAACAGCATTTCAATTGCTCATTACAAACCCACAAATAAATACGTTACTTCTAAATAAACTATCAAGTAATTTATCTATTTACATCGCAATAAAAATAAAAATAAATTTCCTTCCTCGCTATAAAAATACACTTATTACTTTAAAATATTGTAAGGGTAAATAATTTAAAACCATACAAATCTCAAAAAATGTTTAGTAATTTCATTAAAAAATTATATGAAATGAATTTAACTAAAAATTTTCAAAATATACATAAAGTACAATAAGAATTATTTGAATGCTTCAAAAAAATTGATTACAACATGCAATGGCTAGTCTAAGGTAACAAACGAGTTATACATCTTTGCTATCTCACGCTTTTACTTTAAAAAATTGTAAAAATTTAACACAGTTGTAATAAGTTAAATATTTCTTTAATATATCGCATTTCAAATCAATTTTTGAATAAGAAGAAGGAACATTAAGTAAATTAAGCATATATTCAAATGATATGCATTTATGTAAAAATAAGATAAATCCAATATATTTTTAAGACAGACTAGTGTTTAAATAAGCACATATTTTAACCTAGATCTTAATGAATGATGTTAACATAGCCTTTTGAAACCCAAACATGAGTATAAGTTCTTAAGAATAATACAATGTCACATTAATAATTATATTGCAATGGTTTAATATGAAGAATTAAAATATTACATTTTCTATAGACCGATAGTCATTTGCCATATAAAAACATTCGCAGTAATAAATCACCTAGAGTTTTTACACACTACGGGAAATCGTAAATTCCGACAAAAATGACCCTGCCAAAATTTTACAAATAAAAACTCCAACAAATCTGAAAAATTAAATCTACAAATTCCCACAAAAATGAACCTTACCAAATTTTATATAAGTAATTTCCGATAAAACTGATTAACTACATTATACAAACTCACAAATATGAAATTTCCTAAAAATCTTATTATTCATTGACACATATACGATCGCCTAATTTGTGTAAGCAAAATTTAAGGGTATTGGTAAAATAACAAAAGTTTTGTTTAAAGTAGGTAAATAAAGATAATTTACAGAGCTCATGAACAAGAATTTTTGTAATTACCCTAAAATTAAAAATAACGATTTATATTTTAGTAAGTACAATTCTTGTATTTATCGAATTTATGCTACATAACAACTATATTTTAAAAAATTTAGATTTTTCACAGACAAAAAAAATTACATGTTAAAACTTAAGTTTTATATAATAAATAAATAATAACATTATAGTTATAATGTAATTATTTATTCTGCTACATATACGCATATGATAATGATGTCATTATTTTTACTTACATCATTAGGGTTATCCATTTGTACTTTAGGAATAACTTTTTTCTTATTTTCATTAGTTCTATCACATGCAAATACTGGTGAAAGCATTTGTAACCTTCTAGCTTCCATCATTTCTTCTACAACCTTATCAACGTCAAACTGAAATTCAGTAAAATTTTAGAAAGAATATTTTTAAAATATTATTACATTTTTATCTATTTAAATTAATTATATAATAACATGGCTAAAAGTATTTTCAAAATATACGGATAATTATTTATGTATTAAATATTAAAAACCTAGTAATATGAAAAATAATTAAATTTTACTACGATAGTGCACAGCTCATAAATTCAATATCTACATATCGTGGAAGTAAGCAAAGCTAATATTTAAAATACATTTTTTTATAATTATTTTGAACTTAACTCTTTGTAAAAGGGTGTGTTTATAAATTTATTTTATTTAATTAAAATGTTATTTTTTTACATTTTTCATAAAAAGAAAAATTTAATTAATTGAACAAACTCTTAATTATATTTAAACTAAATCGTTATATGATTTATATTATATCATGTAAGAAGTAACCAAGTGACAAAAAAATTAAATTTTATATTGATTAAATATTGAAAAATATAAAATTACTTATGAATGTATTAAAGCATTTATGGATTGTCTTGTTGCTTGAAGTCCTTAAAGATGTATCCATGTTTACAGTTGAGTTCTGACAGTATAGTTGCAACCACCAACTAGCAACCATCGCTCTAAAGATGGACTCTGCAATGAGTTCGAAACGTCAGAACTGAACTGTAAACATGGATACATCCTTAAACACTTCAAGTATAAAATTACTTTTTCTAATTTAAGATTTTATCGACTTTTAAAGTGTTTCAAAAATAAAATAACTTGGCCATGTCTTATACAATTGCAACTATATATATATAATAATGTATACTTCTACATCTTCTTCATTGTCATTATCAGAAGCAACAGGTGTACACGAACCGTATGAAGAAACTTTTGAACTGAGGCATTCAGAAACTGAATAATAGTCGTCGTCACTGTCAATTTTTTCCATTTCTCTGAAAATTAAATGATAAATCTTAATAATCTTGATAAAGTATAGAAGTTTAGAGAAATTTCAATGAATAAAATAATATATATTTTTGGATAACTTTACAAAGTTGTCTAAAATTATACCACTGTGTTGTAATATAAATTTACAATTTTTAAAATCGTTAAATTTCAACATCTTTTAAACTTTTTTTACTTAAAACTATCATATATAAATATAATAAACATATTTTTTTCATATATATATATACCTTAGGTATTTTTATTTTTTTAGGTGAATTTTTTTCTTTGAGAATCCAACCTTTAACCTGATTATTGAAGGGGATTCAAAGTTGCTACTTTAATATAAAAAGTTAACCAATCTTTAAAATTAACTTTTAAAAATATTTCAAGAATACTCCAAGCTTTAACATATGTTAAATAAAAGCTTATGTACTATTTGTTTAAAAAAAAAATTGTCCCATCAACTTATCTTCTATGAGTAAGTAACCACCAAAATTGAACAAAAAATATCATTTTTGTTTAAAATGTCACTGTCTATCGTATTAAATTTTATACTTAAAACTATCATACATTTTTAAAAAATTAACGAATTAAAATACTTTTTTTAGTATAAATACAATAGGTATTATTATTTAATTTGATATAACCTTTTAAAAATCTACTCAAAGGAACATATTCAAAATATCAACTTTGCACAAAATGATAACTTTTTCAACTTATATTTTGAAAATGTTTCAGAAATACTGACACTTAAATAGATATCTTAAATTAAAAGTTATATTACGTACTATAATTTAAAAAAAAAAATTGTCCCAACACCTTGTCATCTATATTGAACAGCCCCTGATATTTGTCAAAAATGTTTTTTTTTATTGTAAAAAAATCACTTTTTTTCAAGTTGTTATAATTTTCTTTTTAAATTTTTTTTTCAGTTAATTTGTCTACATTTAAGATCATTCGGTAAATTCATATAGCAGAGAGATGACAATTACCCAATTTAAGTCCGCTTTTACAAAAAAAATTATAAAAATTATTTAAGTGATAATTATACATACTTTCATCGAGAATTTATGTAACTTTTAATGTGAATCCAATTAATATATTAAAAAGAAAAGGTTGTCCTTATCAAAAAAAAAGTTATAGGTAACAATTGGTTATGAAAATTGACCTAACAAAATATAGATTCTTTTAATAGCCACATGATAGCTACTCTTATTCACCCAATTTTTCTTAAAATAATAATTATGTTAAGAAAATTATTTTTGGTGTATTTTAGTTACATATATTTCCCAAAAAAGATTTACCAATCTTTCTAGCAGTCAATAGCTTATAATAAATTATAATTTCAATTTCATGACTGAAATAATAATTAACTAATGAAGGTAGAATAATAGAATTAAGAGAGTTCACTTTCTTTTTCTTTTTATAAATCTGTACTTTCAATTATTTTTTATACGTTCGCTATAGAAATAATGAAATATTCAACTACTTAATAATATGTTAAAATTTCTCCGTGAAAACTATAATAGAAAATATTGAACATCAATTTCATAGTAAATTTAATTTCTATAATATGTATTTATTCCAGTATAATACTTATAAATCATTAAACTAATAATCAGGATATAATTAAAGAAATAGAAGTTGATGTATTTTGGAATAATTTAAAAATCATTTTTTTAAATTAAACACTGTCAAAAGATTTGCATTAAAGTATTTTTTATGATAGTGATTCTAATCATTGTCAGATATCATTATACTTGTCCCAATTATGCTGTGTCCTCACTTTGCTAGGGTCTTTCATATGCGTCGGCATACACTTCATTTTAAAAAATTTTACAAATAATTTTTAGAAAATTCCACAAAGTAAACTGAAAGTATTTTGTATAATATTATTTTTCATTATTAAGTAGGTTTAATAATATTACGTGTGTTATTAAGCTATATTCATATTCCATTAATTATCACAAAAGAAAAAGTAGATTGTTTTTTAAATTTTTTTAAACTTCCATTTTGATATATTTGAATAGCACACAAAAATACAAGCGATATTATTTTTTGACAATTTTTTTTAAATGAAGAAAACGCATAAAAATAAATTCATTATATAATTTGTTTTATTATTAAGTCTTATTCAAATTTTACAATTAAAATTTAATTACTTGAAACCTTTTGCGGATTAGTGGCGTATTGGAAGGGGATGAAATCCCTCAAGATATATTAATTTAAAATTCTAAGATTTGTATTGAGAATATAGTATCATAATATACCATAATATCGTCCACTTCCTGAAGTGAAACCTCAAATATACCTATGTTGTGAGTAATGACGTTATTTGATATTTACCTGATGTAAAATTTATCAGATATTAGTGGATAGACAATAATTATGATCAAAGTAAAATTTAATGTTCCCGCATTTTGAACATAGATTTTAAAAACATAGATAAGACATTAATGCTTTATCAGTGAAGACTATGGTGATAGTAAATTAAGGCTATTTGTTTGCAATATTACATTATAAGATTTTACTTTTTATTATTTAATGGTTAGTAATAAATAATTAGTATGATTTATGTAATTCATAATAATGTAACAGTTATAAGTTATAATTTATAACTTATTACAAAATTAAAATTATGCGTTTATCACAATTAAAATGTAAAAAAATGGCCTCCATATTCATATCAGTTCAAGACCGCGAAAACACAAGGGCTTCAATTATGAATGTCCTATACATGTTTATAAGATCGATGGTTCCGAAACACCTTATCTATTATTAATAAATTATCAATATTGTTTGTTATTAAAATTTTGGACATCAATCATAAAAAAAAAACCCAGCACAGTGGGGTCGTGGCATAGTTGGGTCCAGTATAGATGATATCTGACAGTGATTAAAATCACTATCATAAAAAACGCTTCGATGAACATCTGTAGATAGTGTTTAATTAAAAAAAAAAATTTTTGTCAAATAGTAGGTCGTGAGAGCTGAGAAAATATATGATAGGTACAAAAAAAAAACCACATAGTAAAATAATATTAATATGAATTTCTACTCACGAGAGGAGACTACAATAATGGGATCCTTGATATTTATTGAAGTTATTGAATCTAAATGAGATAAAAATCAAATGTGTTAAACATTTTCTTCTAACTCAAAAAGAATTAAGAAAAAATTCAGTGCCACCGGCATAAAAAGACCCAAGTATTACCGTCTCAGAAACTGTACGTCTCATTCGTTACTTAATAAAAATGGAAATTTAGCTAGTTCAAATTTTAAAGTTATTTTTCTCGACTTTAAAGAAACAAAAAAATTTAAATATGTTTAATTTTTTATACTATGTCATTTAGATTGATATAATATTTATGAAAATCAGTGTAATCTCCTTATAATAAAGTAAAATACAACACCAAGAATTTTAACACAAAAATAGCATATTTTTGAATACGGTAGCTACTTTCACCATGAAAACAAAATAAAGTCCGAAATTTTTTTTTTTCATATAAAGCTAATGTAATACTTTTATATTATAAAAGTGTCAGTATTTCCGGAACACTTTCAAAAGTTAAGTTGAAAAAGTTGTCATTTTGAATTTATAGATGTCAATATACGTAAGATAGATTAATCCACCTTGAAACAGTTTTTACTATCTAAATTTTAAATTTATCATGGAAAAAAAATGTATTTGCGAAAGTATTCACGTCAGCGGTTACAATTACTGGGGTACGGTATCTATAGACCTTTATGAATTTAAGATTTATAGTTTCAACCAAGTATTTTTATTTATAAAAATGTATCATCAGTTTTGTTTTATACAATTGTTTTTTTATTTCGTTTTGCGTTTACAATATATTACTACTGTAGCAAATAAAATCGTTATTTTGCTTATACTGGAACATTTCAATATTAATCTACCAATCAGTCATAGTCATTAGCTTGGTTTTACAGCCATCTATATTTATACGATGATTCGGGGATGAGCCTTACACAATTTTAGCACACTGGATTTTTGTTTTAGTTGTGCCACTGATTGTGAAAATGACATATGTCATAAGTAAGGGTCTAATTAAGGTTTTAGTTATGCTATCAATCACAACGATAAGTAAAATATTTTTCTTTTCACATTATTAAATGAAATTTATTTTAGCTTTTTATCACTAAATATTTTATAAATTATACATATACACCACTTAGATATTTATGTTTTTAGATTTTAATAGTGCAACGATGTCGACTCAATTTATTCCTGTCGAATACGTGTTTTCAGAGAAAAATAAATCGGAAGACAGTTTTTACGCTTGACAATTGTTGTGAATTTCATAAATAATTTTTTAAAAAATTGACTGTCACTAAATAATGAAATTAATTAAAATAATTTTATACTAGATAATACATTGTGTAGTCTATTTGTAGCCTACTTCCCATTATAGGACTGTACATGTGATTGATCGAGTGTGCGCAAATATTCATGATATTAATATGAACGCTATAAATATATAAGAGTATAAAGGGGATTTCTCAAATCACGTTTATTTTTTTGATGAGGCATTTTGCCAGATTTTTTCTAGTCATGAACATTTTACTCTCCCATTAAAATGATGTTGCATAAATATTGTAGAAAATTAAAACTCCTAAAAACAATGATTGGTATATGGTAATAATGGTAATTATAGATATCACATTGTTAATATTTAAGATGTAAAGGAATCAATATATCTTTTGATTGTAAAATATTTGTCTTACAAAACAAAAATGATCATACAATTATTATAATAAGTATTATGGCCGTTTACACAAATAGATGAGACAAAGGTTCGTTCTTAAAAACGAATATATTTAAGAAACAAATATCTTTAGATCGCGTTTGATAGTTTGTTTTATTAATGATTCTTACTATTAATAATTTATATATTATTATTTTAACTATAATATTGTTTTTAAAAACATACTTCGACGTTGGTAAATAATTATTGTTTGTGTTGAGTGCTTAACATGTGGGTTTTTTGCGCTTTAAACATTTAAATACAATTGAAATAGTATGCAAATAAATTGCAACTATAGTTTTTAATACGAAATAAAAAAAATTAATTTTTTATACATTTTTTATAAAATTAACTTTAAATAATGAAAAAAAACCTTTAAGAAGGTTTATTTGTTTAACATGAAAAGTTACCAAGAACGGTTTGTCGTGAAACACTAATGACGTCCAGAACACTTAAATGAGATCTTTCCACATTTTTATATATTGTTATATTTTTCTATTAGATAAGCGTGTACGACTGCATGATTCTAGTGCCAAAATAATTTATTTTAAACTCTTCCCACCCAAAATATTTGTACAAGCATAATGTCTCTAACCTCTAACATGACGTTGGTGCAAATTTTAGGCTAAATAATTTATTATAATGTTTAATTGACTCTTAAACTTAGGAGTGTTTTATTTTATTACGATAGATTTAAGTGAAAAATAAGCTAACATAAATATAATAAATTACTGAAACAATGATTTAAACTCATAGTCGTCACTAGTTTTGATAAATTGTATGCATCTACTTAATACTTATATACTATTTAGTATTTCAGAAATATATTAGCAATTCTAGATAAGAAAATATACTGATCTAAAAATTAGCTTTACTTTACATTTAGGCAAGTGAATAGGGTATGCACAATAACTCATCATTAAGGTCTATTATTATGATATAAAACAATTAATGAATTAGTGAGAATTTGACTTAAGAACCTTTTTATTAGGATAGAACGCATAAACATTTACACAAACTGGAAGTTCATCAAGACAAAATAAATTTTACAAAGAAATTACAGTATCTATATTCAAATAATTTATGTATTGTATACATTTCTTAATTATCTCAATGAAAAAAATTACAAATTAAACCTAAACCAATAAAATAATTTCAATGTGCAGGCCATTTATCAATGATCTATAGTACTTGTTGTATGTATTATAATTAGTATACATAAATTAATTTTTGTTACAATTTTAAATACTTTGTAAAAAATATCAAAGGTTAAAATAATTGACAGTTTAGATGGGAAGTGGACTATGTCCTCTTTAATATAAAATAAAACAAAACGCTTAAAAATTCAGAATAATTTATCAAGTACATAGCCTCTATTCCAACTATTTAGGGTTGGCTCTACTATTGTAGAGTCAACAATGTAATTGACAGGATTTTTTACACAGACTTTCAATCTGATGCAACCTCATTGCATGGCCAAAGGAGTCAAAAAAAAGTTATACTAAGTAAAATATGAAAATACTTTTAGAGCTGGATACTCAAATTTAGCCTATCCAAAGTTATTTTTTAAACTATCTGTAAATAATTTTTTAATATTTGTTACATTTAACCGATAGTAAAATATAAATGCTCTTATAATAATAAAAATAAATAATAATTTTTATTTAATTCAAAAAATTAAATACTTACAAAGATATTTTAAAATTAAGTATTATAGGTAAGACCTATATTTTTAGAATATAATAAAATACTTAATAATAAATTCTTTAATTTACAATACAAGTGTAAATTAATAAACAAATTTATCAATATTATGCAAGTAATTTCATTTCTTATTTTTCATGCCTTCTTTTTGTTTCTTTTGTTTTTTTGTCTCCTCTTCATCAATAGGAGCTACTTTAACAAAGGGTATCTCTTCTTGATATCTTAATGGCATATACTTTTTAAGTAATTCAGGAACCTTAATTCCAGTTTCTGTTTGATAAGTTTCTAAAATTGCACATATAACTCTTGTTGTTGCACATGCTGTAGCATTTAACATATGAACATAATCAACCTTTTCATTCATTTTTTTTGTTTGTCCATATCTCACTAATAGTCGCCTAGCTTGATAGTCGAGACAATTACTACAAGAAACTAGTTCTCTAAAAGCTCTTGAACCAGGAAACCATGCCTCTAAATCAAGTTTTTTAGCAGCAGCATTGTTTAAGGCACCAGATACAATATTTACAACTCTGTATGCTATTCCTAAATCATCATAAAATTGTCGAGAATTATTTATCATTTCTTCAAACAATGTCCAAGAATGATTATCAAATGGAGAAGTTAGAACAAACTGTTCAACTTTTTCAAATTGGTGTACTCTAAATATTCCTCTGGTATCCCTTCCATGTGATCCAACTTCTTGTCGAAAACAAGTTGATACACCAACATATCTTATAGGAAGGCTAGATTCAGGAAGCCATTGATCACGATGGATAGCTGCAATAGGTTGTTCAGAAGTAGCAATTAAATATTTTTCATCCAAATCATTATCATCAACTTTTTCACTTCCTTTACCAATAACTTTGTATAATTCTTCATCAAATTGAGCAAGTTGTGCTACTTCTTGCATTATTTCTTTTCGCATGAAAAATGGTGTGTACAATGGTTTATATCCTTTATCATCCCATCGTCGTAATGCTTCTTGAACAAGAGCTGATTGAAGGAATACACCAGGTCCTTTTAAATAATATCCACGTGCACCAGAAACAGTTGCTCCAGCATCACTATCAACACCATCAATCATATGAATTAAATCAACATGAGAATATTTTTTTTTAGCACAACAATCACCAACTAAAGCAACTACAGCATTGTTATCTTCATCATTGTCAATTGGTACCGAGTCATGAACAAAATTACTTATTTCTTTAAAAGATTCATTTCTAGTTTTCTCAACATCCAATAAATCTTTCTCATTTTGAACAAGGGCATCATCAATAAGTATCCTTACTTTTTTAATTTGTTCCACTGAAAGAGGTTTTAACACATCCGCATTAACTGTATCTAAATCAAAATTAGTTGCAATCTCAGTAATTTTATCAGATTGCGGTTCTTTAGATTTTATTTTCTCTCCAATAGTTTTACTACATAAATTTTTAAGTTTATTGAAATTATCTGCTTTAAAACGTAATTGTCGCCACTTGCTATCAGCTTCCACAACTTTATCTACCAACGCAGGATCTTTAAACCGTTTCTTCTGGTTTTCACGAATTTTATCAGGGTTTCCGCCCTTTTCTGTTCTAAATAAATCCAAATCAAGCACCATTGTAACGTAAGAATAATCCAATAACTTTATATTTTAATAGTTTTGACGTGTCCGGCTACACGAGAAAAGATATTACTATCGCCACGACTATAAAACCTAACCAACAAAATAGAATATGTTATCATTTATTACTGTTAACTCTAGTTTATGCTAACTGTGTTATTATCTTTACAAGTAAGACTATCAACCATAAAAATACTTGTATTTATATGTCTATGGCTATTACTCTATGCTGTCGACATGTAAAAGTGAAAAGACCACAATTAGATATTTTTTCAAATTGAATTCATCAAACTGATAACGGATTAAATTTTCAATTCTTTTAGTTAAGAGACTTTCTTAATTTATTTGGAATACATTCATCTATTCTACAAACTTCGATGAAAAGTTGGTCCTAAAGAAACTAATAGTAAATATTTTTTATATACTACTATTTGATACATTTCTACTCTAATCCAAGATTATACCGTAATGTATTAGTCATAAAAGTCATTGCTTTTAAATTTAACCCATTAAGTAAAATGGTAACGTTGAAATAAGAGATGATTTTCCCTTATTGATCATAGCCTTTTTTAATATTATGAATGATTAATTTAAAAATTCAGACGATAAGATAAATTTTTTTCAATAACAATTTTTTCATATCCAAATTATTTTGCTTACAATCAATCAAATAATAACAATATACGCCGTTTTTAAATATTAAATTTCCGCTGTAGAACCACTAAACTATAGTGATTTTACCAATTAATAAATATATACAGTGGTGTAACCAGGGAACTGACTGCCTATAGCCTCTACTACTATTTTTTTAATTATTACTATGTTCTATTAAAATAGGTGATAAACTCTTGTGTTAAACTGATTTCAGATTACTACTGTTATTATATTTGACAAGTACTACCCAGATAACAATTCTTAACCAACTTTATGATTGATAATTTGAGAAAAACATGAAACTAAATGAAACCAATAAAATTATGATCAATATTATTTTTATTTTTCGACTAATTAATTTTATTATAAGTGTATCACTACTCTGTGGAAAAAAAATCAAATAAAATGTTCTAATATTGGTATGTTTAATCATATTGGTGGGGAAAAAATATAGACTTTTCTTTTTTTGCTCATCAATTAAAGTGCGATTTTCGAAAAAATTTGGGTGTGCCCAAATTTATGTATCCATTGTACGTGAAAATCTTCAATTCAACCCTGATAACATCTTACACTACCTAAGACATATTACAAGAGTATCATGTTAATGTATTATTTTTTAAATAAAAGTTGTTGGTAGCTTTTCTATGTATTAAATATATTTTTGTTCAAAATGACTAAAATTAATATATACTAAATAATTTTGTTTGGTTATTTATATTTATGTAATGATAAAGTGTAGTATATATGAATATCTGAAAGTATATAATAATAAGTTATTTTCTTTTTAATGAGATATGGTGTTTTTTTTACTTTTTAATTTTTGTCAAATAATTAAGCAAAAATAAAGGCGGCAACTAGTACATATTAAAAAATTCATTAGAATATATTAGTTAATCCTGTAATCATAGTATTAATTAAATATTTCTAGATTTTACTCATAAATATTTTTTAGAAAAATTATAAAACGCTTGAAAATTAAAAAAAAATTTAATATTTTAATTATACAAACAAAAACTGGGTAATTTAAATTATTTAACAGATGCACAGTCCTCGTGTAATAGTCATTTAGGTGATAAATAAAAAAAATGGAATTGAAATAACTTAATAAATTATAATTAATGTAAATAAATTAACTAATAATATGTTCATCAAAATCAAATAACTAATTGTCAATATAATATCTTAGTATACAATTTTTTGAGACAAAATTTAAATAAAAAAATTATTTGTGTCTTACACCAGTCTTGTGGTCGCATATTATACATATAAAATTTATAACAATTAAATCAAAAAACTCCAGCTAATGCTTGTTTGGCCAGATTTCTCTTATAGAATTTACAGTCATTATTGTTAGTTTCAGGTGCATATTCAACATTATGAACCACAATTGTATTCGCAACATTATCTTTTGATTCTTTGGGAACTGAAATGCCTTTAGTTTTTTCTGGTCCAATTGAATTTTCTAGAGATTTATTAATGTTGTCATTATTTAGTTGGTCGTCAGTAAGAATATCACTAGCCTAAAAAAAATATTTGAGTTCTTTAAATTTTTATATACTTGTTTTTTAAGATAATAAATTATGTGTTATAAAAAAATTAATTTTACATAATCTGTTCACTGCAAAAAGATAATTATAAAATTAACTATATTTAGTTCAATATGGAGCAAAAAAAAATATTTTTTTTAATTGAATTAATTAATTAAATTTTTATTATTTAAATTATGCACTACCTGTTGAGATTCTTTTTTTATAGTAATGGTTTCTATCGTGCTATTGGTTGTTTCTAACTCCCACCATGGGGAATTAGAAGTTGTTTCTCCTTCGGAGGGAGTATGATATGAAGAAGATCTAGAAGGTGGAGAACCAGTATATTCAGATGCAGTTACAAAGTCTTCGCCATCAGATCGACTACTATTATTATTTTCTTCTGATTTAGAAGAAATTGAATTCTTTTCATCCATTTTACTCAAATTAATATACCATTCCTAAAAAAATTAAGTAAATATTAAAAATTCATTACTAAATAATAACTTACTTAAAAATATACTAACTTGAGTGGTATTTCCAGTAGAGTCAATCAAAAAATTATTTGCAGTACTTTGAGCTAAGCCTGAAAGTGTAAAATCCAGTTGCTCAGCCAACTCTGTAACCATCCCAAGTTTTTTGGATATTGATTCTACTGCACTATCATTTAAGTATTGTTCTTCTTCGCTCCTTTAAAAATATTTAACAAAAAAATTAATTATTTATAAATTGATTAATAAAAATGGGGTAAATTACATGTGTAAAATGGAAGGGGGCTCACGAAGCCTAGTTTTTAACATACGCCCAAGACGTACAGTACGTCCTACTTCCAATAAAATTTTTTCTCTCAGTACTAAACACTTTCGTAATCGTCCTTTATGATTATTTATTTTTCTGTTGCTTTCATCTTGAATTGTATGGACAGTTTCCATAAGTTCCCTTAGTTGTATTGAGTACTAAATTAAAATCAATTATTATTACATTAAATTTCACAAATATATTCATTGTATTTCATTTTTATTTATAGTATCTTTACTTTATCTACATTTCGATGATACACAGCTGAAACTCGTAACCTTGTTAGCTGCTCTTGACTTACATCATCTAATAGCTTCCAAGACTGCCAAAGACTATTAGCAAGCATAGCATTTCTATATTCAGTTAATTTACAAGATTGTCTTAGTGATAAAGCAGCATTCAAAAGTTGACAGCCATAATCATAAGTATTCTAATTTATAAAATTTATTAACAAGTAAAAAAGAAAGTCAAATTTAAGGACTCACTTTTGCAATTTCTTGAAAAGACTGATGTTCTTTTTTTTGAATTTGTATTTCATCTGCATTAGATCCAATATGACAATGTAATTTTAATAAAACTTGATATAAGTCATCTAACCATTGAATTGCCTAGAAAATATTATGTTCTCAACAATTAAATGTAATACTTAAGATATTACAATTAATAAAATACTTATTAACTTATAAACATTTAAAAAATACTTATGATTGCTTACTTGAGATGCATCCGCTTCATAATTTAACACATGAGAAACTTGTTGTAATGTCAAACGTTGTAACTCAACACTATCACAAAACAACTGACACCTAGCTTTTGTCATTTCTAATATTTCTGATACATTCACAATATCTGCTTCATAATCAATATTCAAAACAACTCCCATAGCATTTTTCACTGGCATTGATAACATATCTGATAATTTTTCTCCTTCCTTTATTAAATTTCTTTCTATAAATTCTATTAACACCACAATTGTAAATTTATTTACAAATTCTTTACTTTATAATGTGATTAATAATGTGAAGTTAATGAATAAACTTTTGAAAATATATACCAATATTATCTTGTTGAAGTTTTAATTGCATTAAAGTGTTTTCAGGAGACTCCAAAGCTTCAATATCAGTACCCATCACTAATGTCTCATATACATCACTTGTAGTTTGAAAATACTATAATATAAATTATAAAATATATATTTGTCATAACTCTTATATTAATTTGTTTAAAATATACTTAGTTATTAATTTCTTAAAAAAAATAGTTGCATAAATTTTAAACAAAGAAGACTATGGAAATTTAGTAAATAGTCAAGTTTGTATAACTTAAAATGTACTTTATATACATTAACTCTGAGGGTTAATATAATATTATATTAAGAGTTATGTTTTAAAGTATATGAATAATACTTAATATTCATATTTATTTACTTCAGCAACTAGACGAAAGAAACGAGCAGATGTTATAAGTAGATTACGTCTTCTTTCTAATCTATTAGCAAAACTTCGACATACAAAATCCATGAAGTCACGCTGTGCTATCAAATCTTTATAGTTTTCAGACTTACTATTGGACAATTTATTAATTTTGTGTAGTAATTCAGCATAATGACCATAAGTGTCCTAAAAATAAAAAATTAACATTATAAAAACTGAAATATAGTACTGCATAAATTGAAAAATTTAATTACTCGACACTGAAGTTCTAGTCCCTCGTGATTTCTTCTGTATTCTTCTGCTGAGACAATGTCATAACCAACTTGATGTTTGCTGTTCATCATTTCTTCTCCTGGTCCAAGAATCCAATTTATTACTCGTTTAATTCCTTGTTCTACATAATAAAACTCCTAAAAATAATATACACTTAATTCACATTAAATTAAAGTATAAATTTAATAATTAAAGTATTCAAAAATACCTTTATAGAGTCAAATTTTTTTTGAACTCCATTCCAACAATCCACTATCACCATCATTTTGTCATGAACAATCCTTAAATAATGATTTAGTATTTCTTTTGTATCTAAAATATCTTGAGGAAATAGTTGCTCTTGGTCAGAATATGTTTTATTAATTTGGTGACAAATTGTCTGACCAGATTGTGAAACTTTTTTTACATATTCAGAGACTAACTTAAATTTTTCACTAGATACAGTCAATACAACATCAGCTGTATTTTGTTTTAATAAGCTTTGATTATTTGTCAAGTGTTGACGTAATTTTTCCATGTCAGAAACAGCATTTTCAGAGCTTCTTATAAACTCTTCTACTCTCTAAAATAACAAAACAATAAGTTATTTAGCCAAAATTTATTTAAAATATTGATACTGACAATTCTATTATGTATCCATTGTTCATGATTGTACACCCAAGATCCACCTAAATCAACAGGCAATTGGTCTTGAGAAACATATTTATGAATTCTTGATAATGATACAAAAATCGGCTATAAAATAATAAATTGTGTTAATTTAATGTTTTTAATTTATTATACGTTTGTTTAATAAGCAAACATATTATCAATGAAAGATCTAAGCCTCACTTCTCCTTCAGTACGAGTCTTCGTGCAATTATCTACACGTTGTTTATCCCAAAAGACATCCAATCGCACGACAATCATTGCGCCAATGTTGACATCTAATACATCAAGTACTTTATGCATCACACTTTTAGTGGTTTTCCACGTACTTCTTTGGGCATCGAGTAGAACACAAAAACCAGTTTGCCTAGTTTCAGGACTACAAAATACATTTGATCATTGATCATCGTTAATTTTAATTTATTTAAATGAAAATTTTATCAGACCAACCTATATATAGAAGAATAATACTTAAGTGCTGTGTCTAAATAATCATTAGTCCATGGCTGTACCACCACCACAACTAATGGCCGTCCATCCAAATCTCGACCTCCTGGAATTGTTGCTACTCGTTCCTGAAGGACGTGTATAATATCTGCAGCCTCCATGTTATTATTACTCCTAAAACAAATATTAACAATTTTTTAGTTTTTTAAATAATTAGGGCCACAAAAAAATTATTGTTTTAAGAGAAATCGAGTGACTGGTATTAAAAGAATCACTCTGTATATATAGTGTTCAATAAGTAAGAAAAAGATTCCTACTATTCGTAAAAATAGCCCCCTCTCTATAGGCGTAAGAGGTCAAATATTCGAAGGGGGGGCTATTTTTAATTTTTTTTTTTCCAAAAATAGATTTTATATTAATGCATATACCCCTAACCCAGTCATACCAAGTGAAAGGGTTGCTAACTTGTCACAGGGTAGTTAGCCAAAAAGTAAAGTGACCATTGAGATCCTCTATGGCCCTGGTGCACCAAAGAGTATACAGCCTTATCACAGTNGAGATCCTCTATGGCCCTGGTGCACCAAAGAGTATACAGCCTTATCGAGCTCTGTTATGATGGACCTTTATTTAATGAATTTGGGACGAACAGGGATCCTACGGACAATCTTCTGTCGGAACAAGAACCTGAATTGACGTCTCGTTGCATAAAAATCGTCGAACTTGAAAGTCTCAATGCGAACAACGGGACACTTGATGAATCGTCTACTAGCAAAGAGACAGCAACGTCAAACAAATGCAGAACAGGAGTCGCAGATCAACTGGGAGCAGTAGCTGACAAAATCGACGGTCTCAAACTTAGACCTGAGAAACTCAATCTAAAATGTTTATTAAGACCCTCGGTCTACTGCTGGGTGATCTTAATAGCATGACTAGATATCAAATAAGCACTTTGACTGGTCTACTGATAGGAAATGGTTACTTGCTTAAAAAATTTTACACAACGGGGTATGGGAATCACCATTCTGCAGGAAGTGTGGAGTAGAAGAGGAAAACTCATTTCACATAATGTGCGAATGTGAAGCCATGTCCACACTAAGATCAAACTACTTGAGTAGACCTTTTCCTGAAAAAGAAGATATTAAACACCTAAGACCCAGAGAGATACTATAATAGAATTATAACATATATAATATGATTTATAATATTATAGTCGAATTTATGTGGAAACTCATTAATGAATAACCCTTTACTGTTTTTTTCTATATTTTTATGTAATTACCACTATTTCATGCACACATTTGATTTTAATTTATTTAAAGCAGGCGTAAGATACAGTATATTAAACTTTAATACCACATTTATAAAAAAACAACGATATAATTGTTCATTAAATTATAGTAATGTAAGTTATTATAGACCTAGACCGAATTAAGGGTGGCGAACGTCCCGGAGCCCATGAGCTTAAAAACCCAATTAAAATTTTTTTTAGCCTACATGATTAGTTCCTTACAGTTCTTTTTTTATTTTATTTTTTTGCTCATCTCTTATTTTTGGTAGTAATATTTTCCGTAGGAAGTATAAGTCTTAAACGTTAGGTTTATAATTAGTCTAAAATACTACAGTAATATTATAATCAAAAAAATGATAACCCTGTAAATCGTTATCTAATTTTACAATATGACCACAGATGAGATTTATCTTATCTGTGGTATGATGTATTGGTATTAAAAATGATAAGGATATCATATTACTTGATAATACATTCTGGCTATTGATATCAAAATTGAAATCCCTCATGAAGAATTTTAAATTTACATGTTTTAACTGTATTTATATTTAAAATATCTTAATATAAAAATGAATTATTGATAAACAAAAAAATAGGAAATTTTGACAAATTGATTTGTAAAAAAAAATATTCACATGTTTCTTAAGTAAGAATTTAACTCAATATGTTATTTGTAAATTGTTTAAAGTTTTTTGTTTTTAAACAAAAATATTAAGTTATTAAGAAAAATGAATAATTATTTTAGATTAAATATTCCAATGTCTGTTAAATGGACTTGTTTGGCTCTCACTAGTGCATTTGTTACAGTAGTGATACTTCATTATAAGAGAAAAAAATTTAACTCCAAAGTATTATTTTTTGAACCTATTGGCTATCGTCCAAATTACTCACTGTGTCCACAGATAATGAAAATTGTAAATTGCTTGTATTCGGCACAAAAATCTATAGATGTTTGTGTTTATACTATCTCTAGTGAACCACTAGCTGAAGCATTAGTAGATGCTCATAAACGTGGTATTTTGGTCAGAATAATAGTTAGTAATGGTATACTATTAAACACTAAAGAAGTTAGACTGTTTCGAAACAGCGGTATTAAAACAAAATACCAAATTTATGATGATGGCAGTAAAATGCATCACAAATTTGCGATAGTTGATTCTACTCAATTAATACATGGATCTATGAATTGGACTCATCAAGCTGCTTTTAATAATTGGGAAAGTGTTTTAATTACAAATTTACCTAGTATTGTAAATGGATTTAATGAAGGTTTTGAAAAAACATGGCTTACAATATCTTAAGCAATCACTAAATAAGTACTTATTTGTAATATTTTTAGTATATTCTAAATTAGTTCAAAATAATATTTTATGTATTTAATGTTGCAATTATTCATGAATATTAATTTCCCAATATTTTGTCACCTTAAATAAAATTATAGTTTATTTTAAGTTGTTTTAATGTTTTTGTATTTATTCATTATAATTGAAACTTTTGGAATAATTTAGTATAATCAAGTATAGAAACCATACTATGGACACTGAAGACTTTTTTTGTAAGTAACATACCACTATTTCTATAAGCTTATTACTCCTATTTTTAATGTTTTTGTAATTGTATATAATTTATTTCAGAGTATAAAATCCTTGTTTTTATTTACTTTTTTATATAAAAATGTTACATTAAAAAATATTGACCTATATTAATTTGAACTAACAGTCTATATAGGTTCAAAAAGTGTTACAAAAATAGTGGAGATAAAATTATAATCCTATATTTTTGTAAAATATAACTTGGATCATAATTTATTTTCATTTAATTCTTAGATTGTCTCAACTAGAATTATAATCTTGACCTATTACTAATGTATATAATACTAACAAGTGCATTGTTTAACTAGAGTATTACAGAATTGTTACTTTTTTTAGCTAATTTATTATAGAGAATATTATTGTCTTTTAAGAATTAAATATTTACTTAGTGTATATATTACATTAATTTAGTTCTAGTGCATATTTATAAATTTTCATTTTTATTATTATTTAGGGTAATATTTTTATGCAAAATTATTGCACAAAATTAAAATTAAAATTCTGACATTTAAAAAATGTTAAATAAAGCTTATTATTTTTCAAATGTATTTTTATTTCTTTATTATTATGTTAAGTAAATTTAATTATTGAATAATAGTCAAAACATTTTTAAATACAGCTTATTAGCCATTTATTTAAAATAACAATAATGCTGATAACTAACTTTTTTTACAAGAAGGTTTTGTATTAAGATGTGATATATAAATAAAGTAAACTTGTTAATTGTTACAAACAATGAGAACAATAGAAACCCATTTCCTTACTGAACATTTTATATATATATATATATATATAGACTACATTAGTTTTATGTTTTATTTTGTATAACTAAATAAAAATCAATAGTTTTAAAATTATTGCATTTTATTTTTATTTATAACTTAAAAAAATTAATTTAAACCCCACCAATCTTTTAATAATATTTCAATTAATTTCTAATTTTTACATTTACTAAATATTAAAACTATTTAACTTAAACAAATGTAATTAAATTTTACTAAAAGATTATAGATGTGGACAGAGTTAAAAGAAATTTGGAGGGCCAATGATAATTATCATCCATTTAAAAAAATATTTTTATATATATTTTCTGAATTTTGGAGGGACTTCCTTCAAATCCCACGCCTAAGTTCCTAAATATTTATTAATTAAAAAAATATTCAGTGAAAATAATTTTAGAAGGTAGAGAAATTTTAAATAATACCCCAATTATATATGATTATTATCAATAATTTCGTCAGTATCTTAAATGTTAAAAAGTCGTTAAGACTAATACTTAATTACAGGGTTATCAATACGAACCTATCCTCTAATCAACCAATTCATAGTGCTATTTATAATAAATGAGTCATGTCTTTATTTGGGACAATCCAATAATTATGAATTATTTTTTAATTATTTTAATGAAATATTCGTTTATAATCGAAGGGAACAACACAAAAAACATGTGCCTATACATATCCTATTAAATATGCACTCAATGTACAATTCTACCTTTATAATTTCTAACTGAAAAATTATTTTAATATGGAATAATAAGTTAATTTAACGGAACTGTCAGCTTTTTTCAAACAATACGTTAGAAATTATTCATTGAACCTTGACATCTGTTGTAACAAACATCAGTGTCCAATACTAATGAGCAATGGCATCAAAAACCTGTAACTGGAATACACGCCCTTAAAACTCATTTAAACGTACAGTTAGTAAAATATTTTTTCTTCTATCGAAGATAAAATTTATAAATTTCAAATTCATAGAAGTAAAAACTAATTATATGATACATTTACATTTTAAAAGTAAAATACTATATATTAGTTTTATTATGACTATTAATAAAATTTATTTCTAATCTCATACAGGTAGGTCATATCAATCAATACATAAAACACGGTTGTGTACATTTGAGTGTAGCGAGAACAAGTTTGTTTGGCCTTTGGATCTGAAGCATCTTCAGTTCAAAACACTATTTGCGATTTCCAAATTAATTGATAAAAATTTTTTTCATATATATATTTCTCTTTCCATAAAGTTGGTCTAAGAATGTCCCTGGTATTAGTTATATTTAATGAAAAAATATTAAGTTACATGAGTATAGAAGTTTTTTCTTTTAGTAATTTAATATATGAAGACCTACAATTTTTAAATAGCTTTAACTATAAGTATTTATTTTTTAATATTGTGTTATATAGTGCTCGGGAAACTTTTCCTTAAATTTTATTTACAATTATCTATTGTGGTATAACTGTTTTGTGTGACATCCAACATTTTTCTCATTTGTGATGTTAGTTCATAATTATAATTATAGTTTTTTATTACTAATTTTTCAAATCGACAATTCCTTTGGAGCAAAGCTTTTGCTTTGATTCAATTATATATTTTTGTGATTATCGAAATTTGTGCATTCTTTACAAATTTGTTCTTTGATATTTACAAATTAATACTAATTATTATTTAGAATAGTTTATAAAAGTTCTAAAAATATAAAGGTGTAATGTTGAAATGTTTAAAATTAAGCTAGTTCAACACTCCAACCTAAAAAAAAATATATCTCGATGTGGCGGTTATCCATATTACCCCCTCAATTTTTCAAGTACTACTGAACAATCCCACAAAGAGAATTGCATACTTCTTTAAAAATTCAGTTTCTCTAAGCTCCCTTGGATCAAAACAGTATATTTATCTCATAATAGTAATACAATTTTGTTGTTAGATTACATATAAATAATATTTTATAAATGAATGTGAAATAGTGGTATAAGAATGGAAATGTATGACGAGAAATTTTCCCAAGTACATGGATTCTCACAACCCTTAACTAGGTTTTGTTATAATAAATTTTTTTTAATATTTATACTCAACAGCTTATACCTCAAAGTTTTATACGGATTTATTGTTTATAGTTTATACATATTAAATACAAATTATAAAATTTTTATTGAATATTTAAAGATAATCCTATATAGGTTATCTTTGTTAAAATAAATAAGTTACCTAAATTTAAAATTAATTTAAAACGTATTTAATTCGAAAAAAAATGCATTAAAAATTGGGAGANTTAATTTAAAACGTATTTAATTCGAAAAAAAATGCATTAATAATTGGGAGGTAGCTTCAACTTAAAATTACATGCAACAAAAATTTAATGCACAAATAATTTTATTCATACAATTATCACTAATACATAATGTTAGATATAAGTACATTATGAATTCATCCTTTACAATAACTTAATGAAGTATTCTCTTTGCTAGATAAAATTTAATAAAACCGTATTAGTTGGTATTGGTATTTTAATTTAAAAGTTCAGATTAAACATCTCAATAAATGTTTTAAAAGTATTAGAAGCACATTATGCCTACCTGTTCGAAGTCATAAGAAATATTTAACTGCATCTGTTGCAACATTAATCCTTTTTCGAATAGTAATCTTGATCTGCTTCAGAAGCAGATCTTCTACTGCAGTTTACATGGTTCCCGCATTCACATAAGTGGTGTCATCGTAACTGAACTAAACTTCTACTATACTCAGTAATTAAAAAACGGGCAATATTCTTGTGAAAAATTGTTGAGTACTATTGTAATATAAACTAAAACAAACAATCACTGTGCTCAACTAAATACGCACACGGTCTAACTTTCCAACACTGAACTCGAAGTCGATAGTGCAATGCTGATGTCTAGCTCATCAAAGGGAAAAATACCAAGACACAACACGGTTCATACACCGCCGGCATATGTTTGAAAACCAGTTTGTGGCTACCGCCGCTGGTGGTATCGACCCAAGAGAACAACCCGGACTGTTAACAGCTGATGTAGGAGAAAAGAAATACCCACGCCCCGTTTACGAGTATACATATTTTCATGCTATAATGTATGTTTACTGTATTGACATACATCGGCCTTTCCCTCGGATACTATAAACAGGCACATGTATGTCACACCAAGTAAAATATTCAAACATTCATCATACAACTAACTCACAGTAGTATGGCCAAGAGGGTGGTAAAGGGGCTATAGCACCCTCATTAACCAATTATTACTATTAATAGCATAAGCTTTAGCACTAGTAAGAACACAAAATAAGCTAAAAAACAAGAAGTCTTTCGCCCTCACTATCAAATATTTAATGCTTAACTCAAAATACAAGTATAATTAAAGATAATCTTCTTGAATAACATTGCACAAATGAGTCTGTGGTTATTTACAACAAGTCATCATTTAAAAAACTGCAGATTTTTCTGCAGTTTTTTTGTCTTGAAATCTTTTAGTTGAGTAAGAAAATATTTATTTTTTTTCTTATGTTTATTTTGTATTAACTCGGATAGAAATTAAATTACTTACTTATTTAATGAATCATCATATGACTTTTCAGTAAATATTTAAATAAAATTGATTAAAAAAAAACCAGAAATTATTATTTTTTGTTATAAATTGTTGAACTGGACTACATTAATTTATTACTAAATTACACATTTAATGTCATCATCCTTAGCCTTTATCCCAACATTTGGAATCGGCTCTACCAAACACTATTTTGGTAGGAAATTACTAATTTAATGTAAAAAAAAAAACTAAATTATAACTATTTAATAAAAGTTTTCAATCATTGAAAAAGTTGTTATCTACAATAGAATAACCGACAAAAAAGTATTGTTGATTTGCTTAGTCTTTAACTATTAATATATAAAAAGGTAGCAACTATCAATAAAGCATTAAATATAATATGTGATTAAACTTCATTTCTCAATTAAATGAATCGATGTTATTTTAAACTTGTAATGTATTAACTTTAAGGTGCTTGACCCGTTGGCTATAAATTCAGTAAGTAAACCGGCCAAACCTACAAATAAAAATGTTATTCATTAATATTTATTATTATTCTTCATTTACTATGACCACTTTTTCCGGAACTTGTTTTTACGTTTTTTTTTAAGAAAGGTTTTCTTTTACGGTAATCTTTCTGCATATATAGAAGAATATAATTTAAAATAATTCGACACTTAATCAATTACTTTTTTTTTATTGTTAAATTTCTAAATAACAATTAATGAATAATCACTCAGTGGATTTATAATTTTTTTTTCCAATATCAAAAAATTATTAAATAATTTGATAATNTTTCCAATATCAAAAAATTATTAAATAAAATTAATTTGAGACAATAAATTATAATCTATAGTAGTTATAATATTAAACTAAGTTTTAAAATTAAGTACTTAGTAAAACTTATAGTATAACAATTTTTTTAAATTAATTGAGAGAGGCATAATTTGATCTGTTACAGCGAAATAATTTTGAGTAATATCTTTTGTATGATAATAATCAAAACCGGTTATAAATGAATAGAGAAGATGCAAGTTGTTGCTGCAGAAGTAGATTAGCCATTATATGACGATATCCTTTGGACAGAAAAACCAGTTTTCTATTTCTCCTGATGGCAGTAAACGTATAAACTTTTTACCGGGCTCGCAAAATATGATGAAATTACGATATATGTGTATATATTACATTAATGTAGTTCTAGTACACATATTTATAAATTTTCATTTTTATTATTATTTAGGGTAATATTTTTATGCAAAATTATTGCACAAAATTAAAATTAAAATTCTGACATTTAAAATATGTTAAATAAAGCTTATTATTTTTCAAATGTATTTTTATTTCTTTATTATTATGTTAAGTAAATTTAATTATTGAATAATAGTCAAAACATTTTTAAATACAGCTTATTAGCCATTTATTTAAAATAACAATAATGCTGATAACTAACTTTTTTTACAAGAAGGTTTTGTATTAAGATGTGATATATAAATAAAGTAAACTTGTTAATTGTTACAAACAATGAGAACAATAGAAACCCGTTTCCTTACTTACTGAACATTTTATCTATATATACATATATTATTATTTTTAGAAATTTTACTGTTTTTGATTATTTTTATGATTTGATGAAAATACTTTCAAATCTTAATTGTACAATAAAACATATTGCTAACTGATGTTATTTGCATTTTCTTTAAGAAATTTGCTTAAATAGGGTAATTGTGAAGAACTGTTATCGCCTGAAGCCTAATGCGCCAATACTTACATACTGAGTAGAAGAATCAAGACAAGTTCAGTAGCTGTAAAATGGTACGTACACAATTACTTTTAATTACGAGTTCGACCACAGTCAAACTTTGAGTTATAATTTATGTTTTACAAGTAAACGACCCCGATGTTAAACAAAAAGGTGAGTTTTTACTTTTGCTTAAAACTGTCATAACTTTTTTTAATAATGGATAAATAAAAACAATTTTTAGGTGATTTAAAACAGTAAATTTTTCGTAAATAGGTACTTTTCAACTTCACATTGGAAAATGGTTAGGAATTACTGAGTCCTTCAAACATATGTTAAATTAAATTTTATGTATATAGTACAAGTTAATAAAAAAAAAGAACAATGCGTGTTAGGAATACGCGCGGATGAAGTCAAACTTCTTTCATAGTCAATCAACTGATAGAATAGTAGGTTTATATTGAAATTAAATAAACAGTACACCTAGAAATTATATTTTCAATTAAAATTAATTTAATTTGTAATTAATTTTATTATTCTATTATCACGGAAGATATAATAGGTTTATGATAACTGAAATAACTGATGTAAATTTCTGATTGGACGTTATGAAGACATCGTATTAAAGTTGCATTTATTGTACTTTTTTAAATTTTATGCAAAATTAAAATTATTTAATCCATTTTAAATAACATTACTTTTATTTTCGAATATACAGATCTAAATTATAATATATAATTTATTAATTGGTATATAATTTATTATATACCATTTACTATTTATTAATAAAAGTATATATAAATTATTAGCTTCGATACGAAGCTGAGAAGGTATTGGTTTTACTAAAACGTGATTATTTATTTATTTATTTATTTTTTGTGTCTGTTACCACTTTTTCTCAGCTCTCACCGAACGGATTTCTTTCAACGATACGTCAAAAGATCACAAATCGTATCTAGTCGAAGACATTACCCACAAAAATTGAAAAAATTTCCCTCGTTTCCCGTAAATGGGGGAAACCTCCAAAAAAATTACAAATTTAAAAATCACCAATTTTCGAAATTTTTTCATTTTTTTTACTAAAAACTGCCGCAACTTTTTCAAAAATGAACATATCAATAGAATTTTTTTTTATATAGATGCTTGATGTCATTATCTATTATTTGGTATATATTTTTTGTAAATCTGACACTTAACCTGCCCACAGGGGGGGATTTCAAATGACAACTTTTTTACAAAAAATTAACTTTTTCAACTTGACTTTTAAAATGTTCCGGAAAGTCTGACACTTTTATATATATATTAAATTAAAGCTAATGTAATGTACTTTAATTTGAAAAAAAAAATTGACCCCTGGACTTGTCTTCGTGGTGAAATGGCTAGCGAATGCTATTTTTGTGTGAAAATTCTCGATATTATTTTTTACATTTGTTTGGGCCTGGGGTATTAAATAGTAAAATACTTTACCCAGTCACTACGCCCTTTTTACCAAACGGTCTAGCTTCTTGGTATACCACTCCAAGGCTGACCAACCTGTTAGTGTGTAGTGTGGTAATAAAGTCACTGGAGATGGGAGGGGTCGCCTGCGCAAAACCAGTGATCTATATAGTGCTCAAGTGTGTACTGTGTGTATATATGTTTTTGTGTGTACTCTTAAACTAAATAAATAAATAATTCAATTGCACTTATCATAGATATATTAATAAAATCGGAAGACAACAATCAACAGTAATAAATAAAATATAAAGGATAGCCCTTCTGGCTCAACAATAATAAAATAAGTTTAAACTCTGAAAAATATTATACACAATAAACCTAAAAAAAATTTAACAATGAATACAAACTATTAAATAAATAATATATATAAAAAATTTCTTTGATTTTATTTTATTTTTTACATTTTTAACTTTATTATGCTATAACTTTTTGAAAAATATATGGATTAATACAATTTTTTTATGAGAAATAATATTTTTTAATAATCCCTTTGTCATTCGACATACTTTATCTTAATCAGAATATTAATAAGGAACTAGCAGATCATGTAGCTTTTGGAATAATACATCAATTTTTTAAAATTAAACATTATCTAAAGATTTGCATCGAAGCGTTTTTTTTTATAGTGATTTTAATCACTGTCAGATATCAATATACTTGATCCAACTATGCCACGTCACCATTGTGCCGCGATCTCCCTGAGCTGGGTTTTTTTATTTTTATTTACTTATAAAATATAATTAAAAATCAATAAAAATATACTGAGTGTTTAATTTATTTCAAACCACATATTTATATCTAGGTGAGTGGAAAAGTACGACCGGGAAATGTCTAATTATAAAAATAGCAGCACTAACTGTTCATTCCACTTATTAGTTTAAATTGTTAATAAATTACATAATTTTGGTTCAAAAATGTTTATAGACCAGTTATTAGATAATTATCTATTAAATATGTGACTTAAATAGGGGTGTTGTCATTTGAGAAATTTAAGTTGACACTTTTATAGATATAAGAGAAGAACATAATGAAAATTGTATGATTGAAAAAATGAGATAAACATTGAACTAATAGAAATAAATAACATAATAATTAATATTATAAGTGAATCACCTTGTATATAATAAGTATTTTCTATGTTTATTTTTATATATAACATAGTATAATAAATAATGTATAATCATTATTTATTATTGACAAATTACTTATTTCATTATTCACAAAAATAAATAATTAACAACAAAGAAATAAGAATAGTGTTGCGCCATGACACTCCTAAATTAACGGTTGGCGTCAATAGCTTATAAGGATCATGTGGACCGATAATACTTAACCTAAAATAAAGTACATAACCTTTAAATAATTAATTTATATATTTAAAACGCAATTGTCGCCTTATGAGCTAAGGGATATAACAAATACTCTCTCTGGTGTTTGGATACTCCTTGATGTTTAGCTGAGCTGCCTCTTTATGGATCACATGAGCTGTACATTGACTTGGTTATCTGAGCTGATATTCTCTATTTCATTGAATCCTCTGCATAGGACAGCAGTGCATTAAAACTGTAGAATAGTGTCTACATTGTTCATAGCAACAATGTGGTTTTGTTTGAGAGCACAATTATGAACAGAGCACTGTATGAGCTTACATAAAAACCATCTACGGTGTGTAGAAGTACGTAGAGCACGTTAAACAATGCATGAGCTTGCAGGTTAGAGAGAACACTCACATATTTAAAAACCACAGAAACGTTAAATTGTACTGACAACAGCAACAGCAGCTGATAACAACGGTACAAGTGGGTATTGCACCATATCCAGTATTACCAACTAGAGGTCAACATATACTAAATTGATAACTCTTTTATGGGGTTCAAACAAATACATTATTAATTAATTAATAATTATTAACTAAATTTTATTTTATTTATAATAATAATATAAGCAATAAAGTATAATTTATATTATCATTTAATTATATTAATTAAAATATAAATAAATATTATAATGAAATTTATTTGTTATGTATTTGTTGCCAGCCGATCTAGAAACTTATTTTTTTCTTGTGTCTGTTTTACTACTTTTTCTCAGCTCTTACTGAACAGATTTTTCTTAAAAATACGTCAAAAGATCACAAATTATATGTAGTTGAAGACATTACCCTCAAAAATTGTTCCTCGTTTCCCGGAAATAGTGAAAATCCTCCAATTAATTACAATTTTTAAAATCGGTTAATTTCGACATTTAAACTTTTTTTTCTAAAAATTGCCATAACTCATTGAAAAATGAACGAATCAAAATAATTCTTTTATATATTGAAGCATAGATATTTCTCTTTCATTTGATATAAATTTTTTGAAAATATGACTCTTTACTTGCCCACAGAGGAGGTTCAAAATTGCAACTTTTGCATAAAAATTTAACTTTTTCAACTTAAATTTTGAAAATGTTCCGGGAATACTTCGAGCTTCAAACATATGTTAAAATAAAGCTAATGTTATGTAATATATATTCAAAAAAAAAAAACCCCAGCACAGTGGGGTCGTAGCACAGTGGTAACGTGGCATAGTTGGATCAAGTATAATGATATTTGGCAGTGATTAAAATCATTATCAAAAAAAACACTTCGATGCAAATCTTTAGATAATGTTTAATTTTAAAAAATTGATGGATTATTCCAAAAGCTACATGATCTGATATTTCCATATTAATATCCTGATTAAGATAAAGTATGTCAAATGAAAAAGGGTTTATTAAAAAATATTATTTCTCATAAAAAAATTGTGTTGATCTATACACTTTTCAATAAGTTATAGCATAATAAAGTTAAAAATGTAAAAAATAAAATCGAGAATTTTCACACAAAAATAGCATTTGGTAGCCAAAATAAAGTCCGAAATTTTTTTTTTCCTTAATAAAATATATTACATTATCTTTAATTTAAGACATATATAAAAGTGTCAGTATTTCCAGNTCGAATAAAAAAGGGATTATTAAAAAATATTATTTCTCATAAAAAAATTGTGTTGAAGAATTGTGATTTCCCCTATTTACGGGTAACGAGGGAAATTTTTTCAATTATTAAGGGTAGTGTTTTCGACTAGATACGATTTGTGATCTTTTGACGTATCGTTGAAAGATATTTGTTCGGTGAGAGCTGAGTAAAAGTGGTAACAGACAAAAAAAAAAACACATCATAGTAAAAAGAATACCATATCAGCTTCGCATCGAAGCTAAAATTTGTCCCGACGATTTATCTTCTACGTGAAAATGGTTGTCGTAGTAAAAAACGTACAATTTTGTTGTNTGTAAAAATGTTGTCATTTTAAATCCCCCTCTGTGGGCTGGTAAAGGGTCAGATTTATAAAAAAAATATACCAAATTAAAGGTAAAGACATCAAGCATCTATAAAAAAAAAACTATACTGATTTGTTCATTTTTGAAAAAGAAATAGCATTTTTAGAAAAAAAAATTTAAAAAATTTCGAAAATTAGCGATTTTTAAATTTGTAATTTTTTTGGAGGTTTCCTCCATTTACGGGTAACGAGGGAAATTTTTTCAATTATTAAGGGTAGTGTTTTTGACTAGATACGATTTGTGATCTTTTGACGTATCGTTGAAAGATATTTGTTCGGTGAGAGCTGAGTAAAAGTGGTAACAGACAAAAAAAAAAACACATCATAGTAAAAAGAATACCATATCAGCTTCGCATCGAAGCTAAAATTTGTCCCGACGATTTATCTTCTACGTGAAAATGGTTGTCGTAGTAAAAAACGTACAATTTTGTTGTTAAAATTTACGATTACAGATTTTATTAATTAAACTTTATCAACTCAATTTTTGAAAATTTCTTGGAAATATTGACACTTTTATTTAATCTGAAATTAAAGTATATGTAATATACTATACTATAAAAAAAAAATTCCGTGATATTGTGAACATGGATATCATAATCAAAAATATGCTATTTTTGTGTTAAAATTTTGGGTTTTGTATTTTAATTTATTTTAATATACCTTATAATGGGGTACACTGATTTTCATGAATATTATATAATTTTAATTGACATAGAACATAAAGTTAAACTTATTTCAATTTTTTTTTTATAAGTCGAAAAAATTAATTTTAACAATTGAATTAGCTTAAATTGCCAATTTTATTAAAAAATGAATGCGATGAACGTTTGCCGAATCAGTAAAAATCATTGCTTGTGGTAATGATTTTTTTTCAATTATTCCTTATTACTTTTTTAGTTAAAATTTTGTTCCATTAAATCCACCAATTACATAATTCACCAAGAAAGCCAACCAAATGGAATAAATGACATTATTGTATTACAAAATTTATTTTTTAAACAAGTTTTTTTGAGTTAAAGTTAAAATCACGACCTAAAGTAATATTATCTTGGTTTAGGGTGCAAAATTCATGATTTCTGTCATTATTGAATCATAAGAATTGATATTTAACTCAAAAAAATGTTTGTAAATAACAATAAATAAGTTATAGAAAGTTTTTAAATGACCCTTAATGTTTTAGCTAAATGTAGTCAATAAACTTAAAATTATAATGTATAAAAAAACAATAACACAGTAGGGTCGTGACATATTTGGACAAGTATAGATGATATCTGACACCGATTAAAATCATTATCACAAGAAACGCTTTGATGTAAATCTGTATACAGTGTTTAATTTTAGTAAATTGGTGGATTATGCTAAAAGCAATTTCCCAAACATTTTCATAAGTTAAAATGAAAAAATTTTTACTTTTTATACGTATGTTTCATATATTGATCGCCCTCTGTATAAGGCGAAATTGTCTAACTAAAAAAAAGTATGTCAGATGGAAGAAGTATAAATAAAGTAATTAAAAACAAAAATTGGGATGATTTATACATTTTTCAAAAATTTATACCAATTAAGAGTTGAAAATATAAAATCGAAAATTTTAACATAAAAATAGCATATTTTTATCTACGGCAACCATTTTCACATAAAAGAAAAGGGTCGGGAAAATTTTTTTTTTTTAACTTATAGTATTTATCATGACAAAATAGATATATTTTGTCATGGTATTTATCATAAGCTTTAATTTGACATATATTTAAAGCTTGGAGTATTTCAGGAACATTTTCAAAAGTTAAGTCGAAGTTAACCGATTTTAAAAATCGTAATTTTTTGGTGGGCTTTTCATTATTTAGGAGGAACGAGTGCAAAGTTTTTAATTTTTGAGGGTANTCAGCAAACTGGACAGTTATTATTAATATTTAATATTTCCGAGAGGATATATAGCGCTATCTCTACGGGTATAAATTAACAAAAAATCGGTTGCCAATTGTCTGAATGCCGTGGCCTATATATGTGTATTTAATCTATGGCTTTGCATCGAAGCTAAAATTGAAATGGCATCCTTGATAGAATTTACATACTATTCTCACAAAATAATTATTTCATTTTCACTAATAATAAAACGCTATCTAGTGACAATTATGATTTTTATTCTAATTTGTCGTCAGATGTGATATGTGAAGTCAGCTTGATAATGTATTTCCCTCCAATTTCCTGCAATTTCATTTGTAGTTTAGTTTTTGTTTTATTTATCTACAAAATAGTGATTTCTAAATAGCTAAATAGCTAAATAGTTCCTGTTTCTATTGGTTACCGGTGTGATTTCAACAGTAATTTTTTTCATACATTTTTTTCAGTTTTGTACCTATAAGTATTTAATTGCCCTTAGAATCTATTATGCTATTTTAAAAGAATTTAGCATTAGAGGATAATTAATAGAAGGCAATTTTCATTACACATTATTACCATATTTTTTGCTAGTCAATATTTTTAATAACATAAATTAATCGTCCTAATGGTTTAATTATTTTTTATATAACTATATTTCACTAATGAAGTTATTGTTGTTTTTCTTCGTAAGTCAAAGTAGTAAGTGTTTTTATACTAAATTATATAAAATACGAATTAATTTATTACATTTATTTTAACATCATGGTAAAATAAATACATTTTTTGACAACTTAATTCAAATAGTTTTAGTACATATCTAATCAGTTTTCTTCAAAAATGGAACCTGTTAGGAAGAAATTAAAAAGTGATTCCTCCGATTTCAGTCTTGACAGTGGTAATAATTTGTTCAACTATTTATTTCTAATGATTTATGAAAGTTATGTTATTTAAGACTAATTGTTTATTGATTTGTGTTCTGTTCAAAAGAGTTTTAACAAACTTCAATATTTTATTTAAAAACTTTTTTCAGCTTATTATAATACTGATGATTCTAATTTTAAGAATATATCAAATGATCTAAAAACAGAAAGTAAGTAATCGATTAAAATTATTTAGTTATATTTAAACATTGTAGTTAGAAACTGCCTTAAGAATAATTTAAATGAGCAATATTTAAACTTGTATTAAGTTCACATGATTAAAATTGATTAACTAATTTATAGTGTGTTAATTTCCTAATACTATTATTTTTAATAAGAAAGAAAGAATTATATAATGTATATATTTTTTACAATCACTTGTCTGATGACATATCTTTTTGTTGAGAACATTAGTCTTTAAAAAAATTTTAACTCTGTTAAAATACTATTTTTTAGTTTCTTTTAAGTAATTTATATTGTAATATTTTTTAAATATATTTACAATTAATATTAGTAATATTTTGTGTAGTTATTTGTTTTATCATCAAAAACAAAATTATTCTATAAATTCTCAAAAAAAAAAAAAAAAAAAACCTATAGATAATAAAATACTAAATGATACAGTTTGTAAATTCCACTAACTCATGGATAGTTCTAGCATCTCCAAGAGGGTAATATCATTAACTTAAGGAAACTGGCGTAGAGTAATGGTATCAACCATTAGCACACTAACCAGTTTTTGATAATCGTTAATGATCATTCCGCCATATACAAGAAATTTTTATTTTGAAATACATCAAATTTTTTTTAATATTTGTCTTTAGAATATGATAGTGTCGACATTGTTAGATAACCTACTTTAGTTATAAATATTTTCTTTATATTTCGATGATCTCTAAGATATTTTATGGAAATTAAAGCTAATTTTTTAGAACCTTTAAAGTTGCTATGCCATGTGAAACTTCATAATTGCCCAAGACTAGAGAAATGTCAATAACTAGTACATTTATCTTAATTATTTAATTTTAATTTTCTAATTTTGAATAGTAACTGTAGATTTATATTTGCAATTATTTTTGAAAAATATTATTTTGTAATTTTTAAATATAATTCATAGATTAAAACTTTATTTTTGTTTAAGTTAAAGATGAAAATGAAGATTCAGGGTTAGATAATATTACTAGTAGAAATAATATAATGGGTAAGAAAGTTCAATTAATTTTATAATTTTAACAATTTATATGTATAACTTAGATGATAGTAAGCTACAATTTATGGTGAATTGTTTTATTTTTTTGTAAAGATAATAGTTTTTTTCCTAAAGAAATGTTATTGGAAGAACAGCGGTTACAAGAGGAACGTGATAAAGAAGACAAGGAAGCTATGGTAAGTAAAAAAAATTATTATAATTTGATAAGTATTTGAAAATCTAAAATTTGCTTTTCTCAATAGTTCAAAAAATTATTTGGAATTATTAAGTTTCATCAATTAATTTTTATTTTTAATTATGAATTATTATTATTTTAAATTATACAAGTGTTAAATGTAAGCATGATAAAATTTTCAAAGAGATTAAATAGTTTTCTTAGTTAAAATTTTGATTTTGAATGAAACGATACTAATTTTATCTTCGATGCGAAGCTGAGAAGGTATTGGTTTTACTAAGATGTGTTTTTTTTTTTTTTTTTTTTTTTTTTTTTTTTTTTTT